TAGCGAGTGCAACAACTCTAGGTTGCTGATATCAGAAATTAAAACTTTTTTTAAGGTAAACCTAGCATAAATGTTGATATGCTTTTAATCTCTCTTACTGTAGATTTTTTTAAATTAAAAAATTGCCGGGGGTTGGACTAGATGACCCCTCCAACTCGACAATTCTGTAATTCTATGTTTTCCATTGTTTTTTTAGCTTTTTTATTGATTTTTTTTTTTTTTACAAATTTATTGCAAACCTCTTACAGGCTTTGCCGCAATCGAGCGGTCTATAAATGGCGTCAGATGCAAATAAATAAATCAGGTGCAAGCCCAGGGTGAGAGGGTTTCGTGCTAATAATTCCTATCCCTCCCAACAGAGCAACATCGAGAACGACGCGTGGATCTTTGCCTTGTCCATTCTGCTTAGCAGCACCTTGGTCTACAATAGCATGGGTATCATTGACCAGTTTGCCTTGGAAAAACTGCAGTATCCTTCCGTGCAAACTCCATTCCACCTCCAGTTCCCTTATTTGCAGCCAGAGTAGATGGGGCAGGGACTTTGGTTTGCATGGTATCTCCATGAACATTATGGGATCTCCCCCATGCACTTCTTTGCAGGATACTAGATGGAGCTCGCAAGCCTGCAGTGCCACCGTTCTCTCTGGACTCTTGTGTTTGTTAGGAAAACATTCTTTAAGAAACAGATAAAAAGTTCCTGGAAGCTTTAAAGAGGGTTCCAGAATTTTCTTTAGTGTGTAGGAGTGGCGCTCTAGGCTTGATTGGTGTCAGCTGGAGGTGCAAATAAATAATATAATAATAATAATAATAATAATAATAGTAATAATAAATTTTATTTATACCCCGCACTCCCCAATAAAGGGAGGAAGCTGCAGGCTGCAACTTCCGCACGAGGAAAGCACACACACACACACACACACACACACACACACACACACATTGTCAGCACACACGCTGACCACAAGGTTGGAAGTAGGACTATGCGCTGCTGATACTATGAGTTTTTTGCTGTGTCAGGATTGTTAATTACTGGACTGAGATTATACCGTGCTGGAGAGATAAGGAAGGAATGTAAATAGCTTGTATATAATAGTAACAGAAATGCTTGTGCAATCAGTCAAGCAACAAAGAAGCTCTTGACTCTGAATTTGAGTATGACTCCTGTTCTTGTCGTCTGCCTCCGGGGAAAACTCTGCTACAAACAGTAAGAAGTGGTTTTACCGAGGTGCCACCACACAAGCAGAAAAGCGCAGCAGAAGTGTGTGGGCGGTAGCCTCTAATAGTGTTATCTAAGTTATTTAACTGAGAGATTATTGCCCCAGGAGGGGACAAGAGTCATCTCCATACATTCCTTAGTGTAATCCCAGGTATGTGACAGAGCTGACTAAGCGAATCAAGGTAAAAGCTACAGCCACAAAGACGTCTGAGGATGGAGAGGAGGAAAACAGTGACGACTTTCTCAGGTTCTTCCCAGCCTTTGTTTGGGCTGTGCGTGATTTCACGCTGCAGCTGAAGCTGAACGGATGCCCCATCTCTTCCGACGAATATCTGGAGAACGCCTTGAGGAGGAAGAAAGGTATGGGAAAGAGGGCTGATGGGATCCCACCCAGGCCTTGTGTCAGCAATCTGAGGCTGTGACAGGGACTGACTCTATCGGGGTGGGGAACCTTTATCCTTCAAGGGGCTGCATTCCCTTCTGAGCAACCTTACGGGGGCCACAGGGCAGAGGAAGGTGGAGCAACAGCTGTAGAACTGACCTTAGTACAGCAGGTCAGCATATTCCTCACCCAGGCAAGCAAAAAGCCTTATCAGAGTTCAGGGACACAGTTCAGCCAGGCAAAAACTCTCAAGAGGCTGCAAGGCAAAGCCATTGAGGTCTGTAGCCTGAAGAGAAGGGGTGTGGACTGGGGAGAGTCCTGAGCACTACCCAGAGAGACCTGCAGGGCTGTTTTTGGCCCACAGGCCTGAGATTCCCCACCCCTGAACGACATTCTTGTTAGCTTTTTATAACATCCGCGTCAGTGGGAAGTCTAAATTCTATAGACAATGATGAAAAATGGGAGAGAGTCTTTCTGTGAAATGGGGCCTTTGGACATAAGAACCCCCAAAAGAGCCCTGCTGGCAGGCAAGAACTGTATATGTACCGGTGTACGGTTCCCAGTTCTGTCATTTTACTCCACAATTTTCTGGGTTAATGGGGTTGCAAACAGATGTTTGTTTCTGGAAGCAATTAACGTGGAAATGAGTACTAAACCTCCTCTATATTCTGCTAGATTTCTGGAGGTAATAATAATAATAATTAGTATTAGTATTATTTCCCCAGCCACTCTGGGCAGCTCCAAATAGAATATTAAAAACACAAGAAAACATCAAACATTAAAAACTTCCCTAAACAGGACTGCCTTCAGGTGTCTTCTAAAAGTCAGATAGTTGTTTATTTCCTTGACATCTGGGTGGGAGGGCGTTCCACAGGGTGGGTGCCACTACCAAGGAAAGCCCTCTGCCTGGTTCCCTGTAACCTCGCTTCTCGCAGAGAGGGAAACGCCAGAAGGCTCTCGGCGCTGGATCTCATTGTCCAGGCTGAACAACTGGGGTAGAGACACTCCTTCAGGTGTACTGGGCCAAGGCCATTTAGGGCTTTAAAGGTCAGCGAAAACACTGAATCGTGCTCGGAAACATACTGGGAGCAATGTAGGTCTTTCAGGACCAGTGTTATATGGTCTCGGCAACCACTCCCAGTCAACAGTCTGGCTGTCGCATTCTGGATTAGTTGTAGTTTCCGGGTCACCTTCAAAGGTAGCCCCACATAGAGCACATTGAGGTGGCCTTTACATTGTATGAAAGCTCAAATATTAATGCAGATACATGGGGAAACAGACTGAACTGCTGATGTGGTCTTTCAGGACTACATCACTTAGGATTGCATATGGGGACTGTTTAGTTGAAAGCACATCCTTGACAAGAATCTGCTGGCAAAACGAACAGGAAAAACAGGGATGAGCTAGAATTTTCCTCCCTGTTTCATCAGCTTTCTGCAGGTGGGGAGGATTTTGGCATAGGGGTGTTTTCACCAAAGCCATTACAAATGCACATTCCAAAATTGCTGTTGACGTGAAGGATTGCACCGCTTGGCCAGCTGAATTTGATCTAGGCAGGCATGACGTCTGGAGCAAAGATGGAATGCCGCAGCCCAGAAAGACTGATTGGCTTTGAACTTTCTTGCAAATTCTCCCTCTCCAGGACAACCTGAGAAGCTGGATCTTGCCAAAAAATGCATCCGCCAAATACTTCCCCAGCCGCAAGTGCTTTGTCTTTGACCGGCCGGCCGGAAGCCGAGACTTATCGGAACTGGCGCGACCTGTCTGAAAAGATGCTAAGCCCCAACTTTGTGGTGCAAGCGCACCGCTTCCGCCAGCACATATATGAGAGTGCTCAGCCCAAAATGATCCAAGGAGGACACCTGGTGACCCGGACATGTGAGTAGAAGGGAAGGGACCAGAAAAATGGATGTGTTAGCAAAGTCACTTAAGTAACACAGACGGAGTTCAGAGGAAGAAACGAATCGTCGTAACACTTTACAGGGAGAGAGGGGAAAGTCCCATTGCGCAAGTGGAAATCCCTAGTCAACAACTTAATATAATTGAAATAGGAAATACAGCATGTCTCACCATTAGAAACGCAACTAGCTAGCTAAAATAAATAAACTGGCTTTCTTCCCTCCCTTTGCAGTGCTGGGGCACCTGGCGGTGACCTATGTGGATACAATCTCCAGTGGCTCCATACCCTGCATAGAGACCGGTGGAAGCCTTGGCACAGATCGAGAACACAGCTGCTGTGCACGATGCCATTACATACTATGAAGCAGGAGCTAGAGAAACACTTAAAGCTGCCCACTGAGACTATCGAGGAGCTGCTGGAAGTGCATGCGCAATACGAGAAGGAGGCCATTAAAGTGTTCTTGGCACGGGCCTTCAAGGATGACGATCACGACTATCAGAAAGAACTTGGGGTATGAGGATTAACTCACCGGTGGGCATGAGATATGGGGCTCTCCATATCTGATATGGGGAAAACTAGAAGGATTTTGTGTTGGATGGAAAGTTGGCTACTCAGAAATGGGAGGTTCCTTTCTACGGGGCAATGTATTCATTCCTGTCCTAGTTCAGAGACTGAGTAGCCAACATGTCAAGGGATGAGATCCGGCTCCTTAGCAAGGTTGTGTTGGCCATTGATTGGATGCCATTGGAAAGTTTAGGGAAGTTTTTAATATATAATGCTGTATTGTTTTTAACACTCGATTGGGAGCTGCCCGGAGTGGCTGGGGAAACTCAGCCAGATGGGTGGGGTATAAATAAATTAAGGTTGTGTTGGCCATTGATTGGATGCCATTGGAGCTAGTTGAGTTGAGCTAAGATGCCCCCAGGAACACGGAACATCTGGCAGCCACTTGGTTTTGTTGGGACAAAAAAGTGACCCTGTTCCCAAGGGAGGTGTTTAGAATGAGGAACTCACTGTGGGAGGACCAGTTTGAGGAAAGGACAGAGGGTAGTAGGTGGGCCAGCTTTTTCAGGCAAAGTAGACTTGCAGCAGGTCCTGTTATTTGAGGCCTTATCCACA